AGGTTTATTCCATGCTGAAAAGAGAAGAAGGAAAACACAATGTTTCAGCTGTGAAGCCTTCTTCGGGTGTGCTCACCAAAGTAAGGGATATTCTTAACAGTGCCATTTTTTAAATATATGAATGAATGCCTCTGGGGTTCTGTGTTGATTTTCACAATCAAATATTGTTTAGAAATGAGTGCATAGACAGCACACAGTGTATCTTTGCATATAGACAGCATAGTGATAGTGCCTTTGACTATTTTCAATGCAGCAATCATGCACCGTTTCTCAAAGAACAATGGATGACTAATTGTCACACAGCAGACTGGAAGTAGGGAAGAAAACACTGCCAGCATTTAATAATGTCTTCTGTCTATGTTTTATCTTGATGCAAACTTCAATAAAATTTGAAGGCAAGTCCAAAACATCACTCACAATTTTTAATTCCATTAGTAATATATCTGTATCATGAATTGAAGTCTACATTTAATATAATCATCCAACATATTTTCCCCAACATGAATTTTATCTAAATATTTTTAAATTTAATTTATTCATTTTAATTGATGTTACAATCGCTTCGTGACTCTCTTATTTTAGTGTAATCTGCAAACGTATCTAGTTTAGTAAGAGTATCGGGGTCCAGATCATTGATAAAAATTAGGAAGAGCAATGATCACTGTGGTAATCACCTCATTAAATCTCCATAGCCAGAGCGTTCATCCATTTTCTGTACTCTTTATTTTCTATCATTAACCAGTTGTTAGATCAGGCATACACATTTTCCTGAATACCTAAAACTGTAAATAGAGCAGCCAGAGGGCGCTCCTTCTCTGTCCTGTCCCTAGTTTCCGGTCGGCTGTCCTTCCTGTCCCTCTCTTTCCCTTGGGCTATATATTTCCAGGTCTTGCACTCTGTCCTCGCTCAGCATTGACGTTCGGATGTCCTGAGACCCGCCTAGCACCAGGGCGCCCCACGTCCGCTCCCTGAGGGCATAGGTTTCTATACGGCATTCCTGAACTCTTTGCCCGGGCCTTTTTCCCATCTTGCCGCTACGCATATGGGTCTTTTTCTGCTCTCCTGCTCCTCACGGTTAGTCCCTTTGGACGTCCGTGACAAGACCTACTTTTTCTGACTGTCCTTTAGGATTTATTTCCATATTGGTGACCCTTTAGTTAAATTCTGATAATTATTTCCATGTCTATGCATGTCACAGAAGTCAGACTAATTTGTCTAATTAGTTGGTTAGGGTTTCCTACACTTTTAACAAATGGGCACTCCTTTAATTAACACAATTTGTACTGTGAAATTGTACAAATTGAAAATAATGTTCAAATTATAAGGTAGTGCAACAGGATTCTGAACAAAGTATGTAATGTGCTTTCTGTTACATGCTTAACCTTGATGTGTTATACTGTATATTTTATCGCTAAGATTAATAATCCTTTTCCTGCAATCATGCTTTGAAAATGACCTTTTGTCTGGCTGCTATCATGTTCTTACAGTTTTATTTTTGGATGGGCTTCATAAATCAAGTTTGTTTAGTTGTGCCACAGACTTACAGTAGGTTTTTTCAACTAAAGACAGTTTTGTCCCTGTGTCCAGCATCTTTAAAATAAATTACATTATTTTAACATCTATTGACAAATGTCGGTTTAGCCATCAGTGATCACATATCCCTATGTACTGAGATGAGATGGCTGTAAATATATTCATTAATGAATTAAAAAGTTTTTATTTTTACTGGATGAAAAAGCCCTTTTTAAATGTGTGAATTCTCAGACAAGGAGTTTCTAGTGTTGCTGATTTAGCATACCTGCAGGTTGCAAAAAACTTTCACGCTTGTACAGTATCTTTTAAACATTGAACTATTGTACTCACAGCAATAAAACATATAATTGATAGGAATGTGAGACTCCACTAGACTGAACAGAATATTTTCCAGTTGGTAGTGGTACAGCATTATGTATTTTTCATATGAAGCAGATAAAAAAATCAATGTGTCTATAACATCACTAGTTGTATGTAACACTGCTCAGGGGCCTCAGGGTGAGTTAGAGAAAATACAGATCACCTCCTTCTAAAATCTAGGCACTGTAAGACTGTGCCAAGACAGAGCAACTAGTCTTGTGATGTGGCATTGTAATCTGATCCCTAGGAAGGTGTGCTGCATACACTCAGAGCCCATGAGCAACCAGGAACAAATTGTGACAGTGAGAGCTGTACTCGGTACACACATACTGTATATACTGTAGGATACAGTATATAATAAATTGACATAATTCTCTAAATACTTACTAAAAAGGAATAATCTAATATTTTAAGTAGACGTAAAGTACAAAAAAATCTTTCCTTTCCTTCATTTGGAGTGGCATATTACCAAAACACCTTCTTCAAGTATTATTAAAAAAAGCAATAACGATGTGTTGATTTTCTGTGTGAGCTGATGAAGAAATGGGGGGCAGAGCTCAGTCTCCTGACATTTTTAATATATGCATTACAGGGTGCTCATAAAGTTAGAAGTTAGAAGGCCTTATTAAACAAAAAAAAAAGTGCTGTGGAGCCATGCCTTTTTTTTTACAAATTCGAACTCAAATTCACTGAGCTCATGACAGAGCTCTCTGAATAGGCCAACTGACTGTATAAACACAGTGTACTCACAAATGACATAAACAGTTTTCAGTTATTATATTGCATTGAAAAGCCAATTGTGATACATAAATACTGTATATTTCAACAGATGAAGTGGCAATTCAGGTTCAGCAGTGATTTCAGTGTTAAAGCACTATTGGTATGATCCAAGACATATTATATTTGGAAATAGCCTCTTGTTCAAGTCGTGTTCAGTTCTGTATATGGGTAATCTGCCTGATAAAGTTGAGGGAAGGAATAAATACAGTACCTAATTAAAGTCTTTTTGCAGGCAAGCAAGAGAGCTATAACATGTAAATGGCTTAAAAGAGATGCCCCAACCAAAGGAAACTGGATTGTTATTGTTTCAGAGATTTATTAGATGGAAAAACTCACCTGTTGATTGAGACTCCAGAAGGGTCTGTTTGAGAGTTTTTGGAAGAGATGGATTGTTTTTGCTATCTAATGATAATATTGAATTTATTCTTCTGAATTGTACGTTCTTTTTCCTCTCCCCTCCTTTCTCTCTATCACTGCACCTCCTTGTTGAACTGAAAGAGAATGTTAATAAACAGACTTTGTACTCATTAAAATGTATAATAATAATTAAATTTTGTATTAAGTATTATGAGTCAAGTTTTGTGTGATTTATTAACAAGAAAACTAATACAATACAAGTAAAGAAATTTGGTAGTGTTACTACTTAATATGAATCATGTAATACCATATTACTGTTCTTGGCTGTAGCTGTCACATTATAGTGGACGAACTTACTAAATGCAAAGTGCTGGAAATATCATAGGTAATACAGAACATAACAGCAAGAGATTTAAAATTTTCAGGCATTAATGAGAGATTCACCTTAATACTGAAATAAAATCCTCATCCCAAGACTTGAGTATTTCTTACAGTCATATGTCATTCAGATGAAAACTATTAGCTTTTGCTGTCAATGCCATCTGTAAGTTACAAGCTTTTAATCACATGTAAGTCGTGAAAAGGTCTGTAAGAAAGATCTTTGAGCTTAAGAATGGAGCTGGTGTCAAACTCACTTTCACAGGTAATATTCTAGCTCTGCGCATTTCATGCTATCTATTTTAAAAACGAATGAAAAAATGTTATTACTAGTTTCCCCATATACTTGTTTTACACTAAGTTGTGTTTGTTGTATGACAATTATAAATGTGCATTATTAAACTGTTAATTTGGCCAATAAAAACTAAAGGAAAACATTTAGAAAAGAGGGATTGAAAGCAATTTTTTCCCATGCAAGCATTTTAAATATAGACTTACTGCAGGTATATATATATATTTTTATTTTAAAACTCTTTAGTGCAAAGAACATCAAAACTTTGGAATGAAATAAAGCTGTAAAATGGAATAAATCTACAGTTTTCCAGTTTTACTGTATACTGGTACAGTATATAAATATAAAACTAACATCATTTGCCAAACCGCTTTATACCATACAGTATCGCAGGAAGCCGGAGCCTACCCAGCAAGCGCCGAGCGCAAGGGAGGGTACACCCTGGATGGGGCACCAGTCCATCGCAGGGCAAGTGCAAGCTAATCATACATGGGGACAATTTGGAGGCCATGATAAAGGCCGAGGGGGAAAATTTGGCCTGGACATTGGGATAACTCCCTACTCTTATCGTGAAATGCCCGGGGATCTTTAATGACCACTGAGAGTGGTCCTTGGACTTCGGTTTCATGTCTCATCCGAAAGACGGATAAATATAAATAGAAATGGTTTGGATGTCGGATGTATTGGATGTTGGTATATTAAAACTACTGTACATTCATACTATCATCAGGTACTTTAAAATATCCTACTGCAAAGCTGACACTTTAAATAACTTAAAAGCATGAGCAAGGCTGCAAATGAGAAGAAATGGTTTACTTCATCTAGCTTGTGAACCTCTGTATATTTTCTTTAATATACTGAACATAAGATAAGTTAGTGAATGATTAATGATTCAGCATTCTTGCCCCTTTTGTTAATGGGAGCTGCTGTAGAAATTTCACAGTAAAGTGGTATTACCTGATTTGCATGCATGTTGGAAGGGTATTGTTAGTATTCAAATGTATTGAGTTGCAACTGCTGTTTCCTTAAGTACGACTGGTAGAAAACCAAAATTTCCTGGAGATTTATCTTATATGTCATTGTCCTCTGTTATTTTCTATCATTTTATAAGGTGCTTTCTTTCTCTTTATTACTTATTATCCAACTACAAATACAAACTGTTTTGTAATCTTTGATTTACTTACTCTTAGGATGAATCTCTTCTGTGCTTCAAGCAGAATATCTATAAAATGTGTTTCCATTCTGTTAATATGAGTATGCATTCAAATTGCTATTTCTTTTAAAATATTTTTCTCCACAGGAAGGGTTATTCCAAACTCAGTCTATGCAGTATATAATTTGCTGTGAAGATGTACAGTAAGTTGAAGATCACATCTTTTTTTTCCAATTAGAAATGTCATAAAAGTATAATGGTAGTAAAATACTGTACTGTAGTAACTAGAGATTTCACCGCTATCATATTGTAACTATCTGATTTCTTCAATGATGATTTTTGACAGAGCAAAAATCAGATGAGTCAATTATTCTGTTTACTTTAGCTCCCCTTTAACTTGCCTATCTTTTCTCTTCCAACTGACATTAGAGAGAATTGCTCTATTTAAATGTAATTGCAGGTTTACAGCATGATTCATTATGATGAGTAAGACTGTAATGCCTGCTTTAGTAATGCAACTAAGAACATGAAAAAGAAAATACATTTTTTTTAAATGTAGATTGGACGCAAAACACTTTTACACACAAACACAAAATACATTTATTAGACCATTAGAGTAGAAAAGTGAAGGACACAGTCTGGCTATGGTTTACAGAAGCCAGTCAAGGATGTACAGTACTGTAGATTGCCAAGACAATGAACTGTATCGTACATCCTGCCTGGTACAGGAGATTAACTGACCTTTTCAATTCTCTCAAATTAGGGAAAATGGATGCAGTTAAGTTCAATTCAATTGGATGTGCAGAAGCAAGATGTCCTAGAAGCGAGAGAGTCATGAAAGAAGGTTTAAAAGACACACGTGTACCACCAGGTCACCAAAACGACACTGCTTAATACCAGTGCCTCAGAGTTATTCCTGATTAAACTATGCTAGGTGCAAAGGGAAGTTTACAAGTTTATTTAAATATTAAACCCCTTAAGTATTGGGCGGTCAATGTGTTTCTCTTGACAAAAAAATACAAAAGGAAAAGCTCTGCTTGCCAAATAATGAGTTTAGCATTTAACTACAAACTTCACCTTCAATCCACCTCTGCTTAGACAGGTGCCAAATTTCAATATTGTAACAGATTCAATTGGTTGAGTTAACTGGGTTGTAGTGATAAGCAAATGGTATAGTCACCTGTTTGTTGATTTGATTGAATGTGCACAAGGGAATTATTATTAGGGTAGACACCATGAGCTGTTAGTCTCACATTTCTGTTGGAAAAATGTGAAAGACTTTAAAAAAGTATGGTATTGTCTCTGAGTGTTACTAGTGTTCAGTTAGAGACATATGTTTTTCTTCTCTGTCGAGGGTCATTGGTTTTATTTGTGACTTATTGTAAAATGTGACTTAATAAAGCCAGGAAACTTCCTTGTCCACTGTTATTTTGTGTGTCAGAGCGGTGTGCCCAGATCCCCACAACCAGATGAAAAGCTCATACAGATCTTCTGCAATATTAAATCTAAACAAAAATTATTGGCTTTTATTTGCATTTTCTTTTCCTTATTATACTACTTTGCAGGTGATTATTCTTCTTCTTTCTGTCCAAACATATAGGTTGTGATGCACAGGTAAGTAAAATAATTGAAAATATAATTATCCTTACTAGAAGTTAATCCTTTTAATAAAAGTAAGGAATACAGGATTGGATTGTTCTCTGTTATGAGATATCTTACTGAGATCCTGATAAAATCTCATTCCAAATATATATATATATCGATCTATTTAGGAAACTGTCAATCACTACATTTTGGCACACAACGTAAAAAAAACAGGGATCTTAAGAGAGTAGAAAAGCAGTGTCCAGTAACTGAGTTACCTTGAAGGAAGGAGATAACAGAACCCAAAAATACATTTCTCAAAAAATGGCATTTTATTGGATAAATAGTAAGAAAAGCTGATGCTATGCATCATGGAACATCTACACAGATGAAAGTGTCAGGGGCAGAAAAAGTAATTTGACCTTTGCCCCCATTGAAGTGGCACAGTGAAAAATACTTTGTACACCATAATAAAGTGATGGGGGATGACTGAATGGGAAAACACGTGGTGATATATTATCAATAAATCAAAGTTTATTTATCAAATACACAACAATACAGCGCGCAGCAGTAATTGCTGGCAATGAAATGTCTTTTCTACAAGCTCACCGGAGGGGGGGGGGGATACAAATCACAAAATTACAAAATAAGGTTGCATACAGTAGTAATAGTGCAATAGAAATTGAATAAGATAAAACTCAATATAAATAGAGTTGCTGTGTGTCCAGGGTGTATGCAATACATTATGTCCAAGTAGTGCAGTATGCCGTATACAATGAAAACTGTGTGTCCGTGTAGCCATTACAGTGATTTGCTGAATGAACTGCAGTTTGGCTATTTAGCAGTCTTATTGCCTGGAGGTATAAGCTGTTCCATAATCTTTGGCTGAATGCTTTGATACCGTTTACTGGACATTAGGAGAGAAAACAGTTTATGACTGTGATGACTGGGGTGCTTGAGAATGGACCTGGCCTTCCTAAGACATCTAGTTGAGTAGATATCCTGGATGTTTGGTACAGTAGCTCACAACTGGTCATGAGCTGCGCTGACTTTACCACTCTCTGCAGTACTTTGCGATCCCGTGCGGAGCTGTCCCCATACCAGGCAGTGATGGGACTAGTCAGGATGCTCTCAATAGTGCACTTGTAGAACCTGGCCTGGACATGTGACGGCATGCCCAACTTCTTAAGCCTGCGGAGAAAGAATAGGCGCTGTCGTGCTGTTTTGACCACTGTGTTGGTGTGGTGGGTCCAGGTTAAGTCCTCCGTACGCAGACTCTTCACCATCTGTGATCAGGCTGATAACTGTTATATCATCTGCAAACTTAATGATGGAGTTTGAGTTATGTCTGGCGACACAATCATGGGTTAATAAGGAGTAGGGGAGAAGGCACACAGCCTTGGGGGGCTCCAGTGTTTAGGGTCAGGGTAGAGGATATGTTGGTGTCCACACTCACCACTTGTGGACGGTCCATCAAGAAGTCCAGGATCTAATTACAGAGGAGGTGTTCAGTCCCAGGTCCTGGAGCTTGATGATAAGCAATGAGGGCACTATGGTATTGAATGCTGAGCTGTAATCAACAAATGGCATTCTCATATATGTTCCTTTCTTATTCAACTGTGAGAGGGCAGTATGGAGGGCAGTGTGAATAGTATCCTCTGTTGACCTGTTCTGGCGATACGCAAATTGCAGTGGTTCTAGGGTGTCAGGCAGTGACCAACTGCTCAAATCACTTCATGATAACTGATGTGAGTGCAACAGGGCGGTAGTCATTCAAGCAACTTACTCTGGGCTTCTTAGGAACAGGGACAGTGGTGGTTTTCCTAAAGCAGGAAGGAACTATAGACTGAGCTAGAGAAAGATTGAATATGGCTGAGAAGACATCTGCCAGCTGGTCTGCACATGCCTTCAGAACACGGCCAGGGATAGCATCAGGGCCAGGAGCCTTGTGTGGATTGATCTTTTTAAAAACTTTACACGCATCCACTCTGGGTATGATCAGTGGGTGTTCGCCCTGGATTCAGTGGGTGTTTGCCCTGGATTTTACTAAAGTCATGTGAAAGAATGTGTAGAAAATAGTGCAAATTGACACAAAGCTAGGATAAGCTTTGCATACTGTATATAGTGTAAGAATAAATGTGCATCATCTTCATTTCAATATATTTATACATTTCAGTTCTTGAGACAGAAAAAGATCAATGAAGCAGAGATTATGTCTCATTGAACTTATTGTGGTAGAATATCATGATCAGTGAAAACATGTTTAAAACTCGAAAGGATCACATAGTTTGGTAACATAAGGTGAAAATATTCAGCATGTTAACCCTTTTCACAATTATAATCCTGTGCAGACCCATGTAATGTATAGTATAGTACATCACACTAGGAAAAGAAACAGAAGTTCACATTTAAATAAGACTTCTTTAAAATGTTGTACTGTGGGTGTGACAGAATTATCTAGACAAATTATCTAATCAACTGCATTGATCATTATTAAATTATTTAATTACAAAAATAGGATAATGTGTACAGTACTGTAGCACTTTCATACTGTCTACAGCTCTCAGAAACATCTAGCAGTTGCTGTTGCTTCAGAGAACAGCTGCTTTGGTCTTATTGTTCTGCTAAATACAGACTGGAAAAATGTTGTCTTAGAAAGACATAACATGGAATTAAGGAGAAGTCATCTATAAATAAATGTTTTAGACAGATAAGTAGAGGATACAGACTATACCAATTGAGAAATGCAAAAGTTTTACTCATGCAAAGCTTTACCAAAACATACCCATAAAAATAAACTCATCCCCTTTACTTTGCTTTTTCAAAAAGTTAAATCTAATAAACAAATAAGTGGCTTCAAGTTTCAATTCTTATTTTTGTAATGGAAAACAGTTCATTTTTCAGATTATCGTCATGTTGTGGGAAAAATGACACAACATGAAGTGGAAATTGGTCTAAAATTTAATTTAAGAACCAACCAGTCTGAAATTGTACAGTGGAAATAAGAGCAATAATACTGAGAACATGCTATTTTGAGTCTGTGGAATTCTTAAAATTTACCACAGTGTTTTCCAAGATTTTACTGCTTAACCATTAATGCAAAATGTAATAAGTACATATTTATTTTGGAAAACATAACTTTATAGTATTCCAAATTCATTGTAGAACATTGTGAGTGGATATGAGTGGGTTTTTTAAGGTTCATCCACAAGGCCACAATTTAAGCAGGAGCCTACTAGGTCTTGAGATACTTTAATGTTTGTTTCTTACGGTTTGATGTCCACTCTAGTCTATTATTTAACGATATTTTTATGAATAAACTCACAACACCATATTATGTATACAAAGCACCTACAGTATGCAGAGATAAGTAAATTTTGGATACTTTATTTGGTAACACTTTATTCACACTTTACTTTAGGTTTTAGTTAAATACTAGCACGTAACAGATGATAGGCAATCGTTGTATAAAATCTGACTAGGTACTTATTATCTGTTGTCTAATATATACCTTACACTTTAACAAAAAAGATAAGTATTGTACTGTACATGTATTAGACATTTGCTAACACCCATCAAAGTGTTTCAGTAATGAGAGACTAATTCATGGCTTACAGGTTACTCCTGAAACAAAGCATTACTTTCTGTTTTTAATGCTGCATTCTGTTGGCATTTGTATTATTATTATCTACTCTTATGTGTGAAAGGTGTAAATTATAAAGCTAGGAGAAAGTCTTTAAGAAAGTAAATGAGGACACTGTGCACACTAAACTGCCAGTGGTGCCAACCATAAAGGCATGATCAATTTGGAATTTAGCTAAAGTTAATACTGTCATGGCATCTGCCACATGGCCTGGAATAAATTGACCCAAATATCAGACTAAACGTTTTAATTTAATAATGTCCTGCGGTGTTTTCATTATCACACAATGCTGACACCAAGCTAGGTTTCCTGCTAGTTCCTGTCCCCGGGCTTTCAGGTATGTCTGCTGTAATTCAGCTAGCACGCTTTACAGAATAACAGATTGCTTTAAAAATATATTATTAAAACAGCAATCTGTTATGACTTTTTAGTTTATTGAATTAGAAATGGTTGGAAATTTGTTCTTGCAATGCTTGCACATGCTTCACACAAAACGTATACGGTTATTATTGTGAATGTAATATGTACCGTATACAATATATCGACAGAAGGAGAATTTATGCATGGGTTTGTTTCTTACGAGAAATATGTTGGATTATTTGTGCTAGTGACGATTTGATCAGTCCTAGCGTACACAAGCCCTTGTAAATGTGCTAAACACTGCGTCTGGCACAAGAAGTAATTAATTCCACAGGTCTGCGCTAGTGGGAGGCTCCCGACTCGAGAACCAGCACTTCCTTATTTATAGTGCAAGATTGACATCAGCGGAAGAGAACACCCTTTAAATACCGACATTTACCTTTCTAATCCTGTTTACTGTTTGCCCGCAATAAGCAATCGTTGCAATACAGTTGGAAAATAGAATTATGTAGCTGGAATAGCCATTTGGTGAGGGTGGGTTCGTCGCAAAGACTGGAAGGTCCTTTTTGAGAAACAAACTGTGCTTCTACTTCCTGGTTATTCTGTTCAGCAACAAGGTAAAGCATACAAGTTACAGGAAGCTGTTGCAGAAAGGGGTTAAACTACACACTTCGCAGGTATTTAGTACGCCAGGCTTTTAGTTACCTTGTATTGACGACTATTATAGAACATTTTGATAAAAAATATTAGCGTGATGCGTCCACAAGCGCTTCAGTCTGTTGCTAACCACTAAGTACAATATGGGGGAGATTTACTACACCAGGTAATGTAAAGTATCCACATTAGCGTCAGGCGAATGCACACGTATAGTATATTTTGTTTTTATAAAATATCTTACACACATGTGACACTGTCATGTTTTCACATCTTTAATATGAACGTTTTTCATGTTTTTCTTTTAGTAACAGTGTCCTTCGAGGAACCATATAGTGCAAAACTATGAAGTAAAGAAGTCTGTGAACCTCAACAGTTGTGTAGCCTGAAGCAAAAATAGTTACAGTAAAAACAATTCATTTTAAGAAGATACCCCCTAATTATTTGGCCGAAGAATGCCCGCTGGTAAGCTACCTTTGCGAATTGATTTATGTTGGTTATTGGGAAACATAATCGTGGGGTTACGATATCTTGAACATTGTTGTTCATTGGCAGGTAAAATACAGTGATCTCCCGCTGTGATACTTTGATATTTGTGTAAATGACTTTGCTTAAAAATGGTTATTCTTTATCTGAGAGTCATGAGGATTTTATTCTTTATTAAATTAAATTTAAGCTTTGAACTTTTATTAATAAAGGCAGAAGGGATAAGTTAGTCCTATATTGTGATTGTCATGTCTCTATAGATTGAAGTGACTTTAATATCTGTAGGGCTGAGAACTTACATCTGCAAGGCCTTGCAGTACAATAAGTCACTTAAGGGAGTGTATTTTGTGAGGTTTATCCCTTTATCTCCTCTGTGGTTTTGATGGGTTATGCAGATCAAAGTGGTCAAATGGTCAAAATAGGTAAATTGTAGATAAATGATTCTCATTTTATAATTGTGTTATACCAGTAATACCATAATGCATGAAGCTGTGTGTGTGCATAGCTCAATGACTGCTAAATTTACATAGTGCTGAGTGATACAGTTAAAACTGGGTTATTTTTGATGAAATTGATGCATCCCTGTGAAGAGTTATTAATTCCCAGTGAGGATATGAAAGTAATATGATTAAGTGGTGACTTAGATTTCTAAAGGTGGTGATGTACTGACATCCATAGAGCTTGCTCCTGGACCATAGCTTTCAGTAACAGAGTTGCTCAATACTGTGTGCATCTTAAAAATGTACAACACAAAACAGTAAAGGCATTTCATTACAGTGCTTCTTAATATACTCCAGTAAGGCAAAGGAATCAGTTCTAGTTCTTATAAGGTTATTTTCACAGCTTTCACTTGGAAAGTAGGTTATGTACCTGTCTTAATGTTGGAAAGAGGCCATATTGTAACCTAATTCTGGTCTCATTTGTTGTTTCCAAAGTAGCAATGAAAAGTTTTTTTTTTTCCCTTAATTGTGTGATGGTCTTAAATATTAAAGCACATGACTTCATATGCTTGTGCTTAAGGAAAATACAATTTTGTGTTTGATTCTGTTAGTATATGACTCATAGCTTAGCAACGAACAGGCTATGAGAGGACAGTACAAGAATAAACCAAAGCTAGTAATCCATTTTAAAATAAACTTAACAAGGCATTATTTCTGTATCCTGCTTTGTTTCTCTGGTTCTCGGGTTATTGGTTGTGATTTTTGAATGTTCTAAAGTTTTAGGACTGATCAGTCATTTTTTAATTTGTTTAATAATGCGGTTTACCCTATCCCCATACTAAACCTCTCTTTATGATGGCTTTACTTTTATTTGAGTACAGTATACGTTATTACATTTTGGGGAAAAAAATGAGAATGTCTGTTGAACGCAAAACAAATGTACATTCAGTCCACCAGAAATAGCATTTGCTACTTTGTTAAAGTAGTAGAATGTACAGTATATAACCATTTTGTAAGCTGTAGAATAGTAATGTCTGACACTCCGGTACCACCAATTAGCATCCTCTCTCGCGGTTGCCTTTATGCGGTTATTGTGATTTATGACCACTTTTGGTTTTAGTTCATAGCCTTACAAAGTAGTATGGAATCACTACACAAGACACCTAAAATTGGTAGTGTAGAGAAGACATCTTGTGAAGTTAGTGAAAAAAGTAAAGATTCTGGATAACTTGTTTGCAGGCATGAGAATCCTCAGCTTTCACCATTGAAAGACAAAGAGTTTAATCATTTTTATTTAATATGTGTAAATGACATGATTAATTTGTTTGCACTACATTTATGTACATTAAGTATTAGTGGGTGATGATGCAGCCACACTGATTTTATTACATGAGTTTTTCCTATGCAGATGCTTCAGGCTAGAGGAGCATAACCCCCATGTTAGACATACTGTAAATCAGCTGTATTTTATTTTTTTCTAAATCTTCTTATAAACACATTACATTTGTGTTTTTTCGTTGTTTTATTGTACCACAAATGTAATTGTCTGTGGCATCTTTGTTAAAGTGGTTGTGGGATTTCAGAGGTAGTTCACTTGTAGAATACAAGCTTATTGTTGGTGGGCAATGAACAGATCTGTATATAAAAAAAATAACACAGGGATTTCTTCATCCTCCATATCAGCATGTTGACTAGTGAGGATCTCAAGGTACTGCAGGAGATATGCTTCAGGGAGAGTCTGTTTCCATCTTCTGCTAGCCTGAGGGCAGCTGTGACAGAAACTACAGTGAACATATCGTTTTCTTGTTTCATAATTTTTAGGTTTTGCAGATTGTGAGCTCTTGTACAAATTGGACTGATGAAATGGGCTTTTAATATAAGTGTTAGCTTTGCATGTTTGTTAAAGGACTTTTACTCAGCATAAAGCAGAGCCAAAAATATAGTGTTCTATATCTCAAATAAACCTTAAAGAGATCGTACTGTTGGGCAGTATGAAGTCGTTTTCCTGTATTTATGGAGCTGTTTTCCTTTGAAGCTTGCCAACCCTGTTATTTTCTTTTCTTTTTGAAGTTAAAAACTTTCATATAAGCCTTCTTTATAAAGTACTTTTACAAATAATGTTTTGTAGTAGCTGCTGGGCTCTTTTTATGCAGTGTACAGATGATTATTTTGTAATGATCAGATGGTGATGTCTGTAGGCACCAAACTCCAGTCTAATCTACTGTGAACAGATAATGCGTATTATAAGAATTATCTGACCAGCAAGATGTTTCCTCTCATTTCCAGGGTCTTTAATTGAGTAGTGACAGAGTGTAAGGTTTTTGTGGATTTAAGTTACATTTTTAGCTTCTGATCTTTTTTTTAAATGTCTAAAATACAGTGCTTTTTAGCCCATTTCCTGTTAGCCTGTTTTTTTAAGCAGTGTATTATTGTTGATAGACTTTTGGGAGAAAATGGTTCTTTGTCATTTAGTTTGTGTTTGTTTGATTTATTGTTGTTTATTATTCCCTAATATTTGACCTTTAGGTCTGATATACGGTAGGCTTTACTGCCACTGCAAGTTCATGTATTTGATTTATCACTAAACCTAATTATCACAGATTCCCATGACTTGTGCTCTATTGACTTATTTTCTCTCAGGTTGATTAGGGCCTCTCGAGAGTCACTTTTCTTATTGAAGTGACATAGCCAAAAAAGGAGGGTGACACACTTACAAAGAGAGGATTTACTCTGTGTCCATTAGAAGATGACTGTTTTTTTTTAAATGTGGGATTTGATTTCCCCCTTTGGTTTGTAGAAAGAAATAACATTACTGTGCTTTAAGTACTGCGTGTAATAAAGCTTGAAGTACTGTGTATTTTCAGTATATGTAATGTACAATTAGCAGAGCTAACTGAAGCGAATTTGTCTACTGGGAAAATACAGGTATTGAATTTCTTCCTATCAGAGTCAGCTCAAATCTTCCAAAAATCTGAGGTGACAATTCTATTTATTGCTGAGAAATCAAAATTTGTTGCAAGTTTTTTTTCTGTACAGTACGTGCAGTTTCTTCCTTGATATTATATGTCTGAAATTGTTGTGTGCACTGTTGTATGAATAATAGTCATATGTAAAAGTTATTTTCCGTTCTCTGTTTGTACTGGCAGCATCGATTACAGTTTAATGCATGTGACCAGGCTATTTGTAGTCTGTATACTGTATGTTCTGGATTATGCCACTTCACAGTATGCCTGCAGTGCACAACAGTTGTATGAGGACTTGTGAGCCTAGGGTATTATTTCATCTAACAGATCATTTAAGTTGGCATGTGTATTTCAGACAGGAGTTTTGACACTGTACTACAGTTCAGACCCTAGTCATTCATTAAAGATAAATGTGCTAACTGGTTCAATTAAGTAATTATGCAGCAACACTGTTCTATTTATTAGGTCTAGCATGAGATGTAATTTTCTAAAATTGGTACTTCTGGCAATTCTTCACAATACTTCAGAACAGCCTAATGGAGTCCCAATACTCTGGTAGCCATTAATGATTCATACTCCTTTAACCTCATGTTATTTATTCCAGCATGTATGCTGTATGTGTAATAAAATTGTGCATATTTAAGTATACTGCCTTTAATTGAGAGCTCACAAACACTTATTGTACAAAGCTGGATCTTGCTCACCTCAAATTTAGGTTGACTTTTTTCTTCAACCTCTCCCTTCACATTTACACTTGAGATCTGAGGTGGCCTAGAGTATTCAAACTTGTAACTATAAAGTCATCCAGAATTTCAGAAGAGTGCTTTTCAGGAATGTCAACGTGACACAGTCACATACAGTACATATTATATAGTACAATCACACAATACGAGCAGATGAGAAGAGGATGGGTATTTTAATTTCTTGCAAAATTGTTGGTATTTTCCTTCCTTAGAGTACTGCTGCTTTCATTTGCATGCTTTGACAGCTCAGGGTAACTGGTTTTCAATGGCAGTTTGACCAGGGGTGCCCAAACAAGTCTATATGACCATTAAAGGATTTTGTAAATGTTATTGCATGCTTTTTCATACTATTGAGTATAAGTTGACTTGGGGACACTTTTCTCTCTTAAAAGGTATTAAGGAGTGTTCACACACTGGAAAATGTATATGACCTAATACCTCATTTATTACTAGTGTATGTGTCCTGGTTCGTCACCTGACAGTGCATTTCCAAATTTTGTTTTAACACTAAAGCACAAGAAATTTTGTACCATTACATTTTGTTGGCCTGAAGCTGAGCAGAAAACGTCATTAAAAATGCAGCACAGTTCATTAACAACACTCTCTAAAGAAGCCATTGTCTGTTATACTTTATAACTGAAAGCAAATAGGAGCACAATGAAGAAGAAAGACTATTTTTCTTACTGGCACATTGTGCAACTTGCAGTCATGGTGAAATCATGTAGTTCATAACTGTTTTGGAAGGTAGGATCATTAAAAATCAACTTAAAGACCCTCTATAATTTATAATTTATAATTAGGGCATAAAATGATTTGTGGTTAGGGAACTGATA